GAGTAGCTTGGGTAGCTGGTCCTTCCGGAATATTCTGATAACAACTAAGTAGGTCTCTTTATACAGTAGACGTAAACATTTTGTGCGTTTATGGCTTCGTACCAATTTAAATCCCATTATAATTTAATAGGGCGTCACAGCCGGATGTCTTAAATCTGCTTACTGTTAACCTATAGTAGCTGTCACAATAAGCTGAACGCCTCAAGCGCTCAATAAACCCCTAACCACAGCTTATAGATGCCATAAATTTGGGCCGAATGCCGCGTACCATTCAGTTAGTACTTAAATAAGAGATATGCTGTGCCCAAACAGTGGAGAGTACTAAAAATTACAACCATCCTAATCACTTCAAAAAGTGGCAGCACGACCGCGCCCCAGGCAGCATTCGGTCTAATTTGACGGCCACAATACCTGAAAAGAGTTTTTCTGGTAAAAGCACAGGGTAGTACTGACTCGGCCATCCCTGACACGTGCCATGGTTTGCATTTGCTAAGTTCTATGAAGGGTCGGCTGTAAAGTACTTTAAACGTCAAAGTCATAAAGCACAATATGTTTACGTCCAGTGTACCTCTCTGTAAATAACTGAACGGATCTGTCTTCAGGAAATGATACACAGTAGGATTGTTCTTCCTTTTTGCCTGATTTAACTAAAGTGGTTAATCTTTTCGAAAACTGTTAATTTTTTGTCTTTTCATTCAAAGTAATTTTAATCAATCACAAGTCTATTGTCACAGTCAAAAGTACATACAAATATGAGTTTATCTGTATACCGTGCCTCATTCAAATCTATTTAGACAGAGGCCACAGAAGATTTATTATTTTTGTACGGATATTAATGGACAACGCGTATTACCATTTTTCTATTACAAATTTCATGCGGTTTCTGCAGTGAGCAACTACAATTATATGTCGGTGATTAATAATTTTGCACAAGTTAAACAACTCAAGTGCAACAACCGTAAATCAGATCACTGCGACAAAGTATGTAAGTAGTGTAGTTAATAGAAAATGGCATTTTACTTATTTCTTTAATGCTATTTGAGATTCTTATTGTTTTTTTTTCTTTGTAGATTTATAATTACATTATCATGACCACAAATTTTGGTTTGTACACAAACGACTTTAATTGTATAAATTCATGGCTTTTTTCATTAAAACAGGCTATTAAATTTTTATGTAAGGATGAGATACATATTTCATTATAAGTATTTTTAATTACACTGGAAAGTACGTACTGTGTTAACTGTACAAAGACATAATGTTACTGGATATAAGTACATCATTTTAGAGAATGCCACAGTTAACAAATTTTGATTTTGTCAAATCAACGGGAAGAATTTGTACAAACCATTTCATATACCTGGAATGCAATCCCGTTAGAGTGTGCAGAGTGCCGTGCTATCATAATATCAAAACGTCTCCTAAAAGTCGATTCAGCTGGTCCTACAATTAAATGTTAGGTTTTATTGAGGTTAATTTTTTTTTCTCTACGACACTGTGTTCACTTTTCAGTGACATTTGAAATTTTAGACATGTCAACGTGTAGTAGGTAGGTACTTTTCAACGACCGCAACTGTACCTACATGTTATTTGTACCCACATGGTTAATAATAATAAAACTTATTATTATACTAGGTATGTCAAAGTAACTAACAGTTTTGTGGGAATTTTCAGAATTTCGTATTTGCTATAGCAAAGCTAAGAATTTTTAAAAGTTCTCTTTTTTTTAGATATAATGTTAAAGTAAATGTAAAGAAGCTACGCGTATGTTCAAGTGAGTTTTCAGAACAAAATTTTGTTATGACGGCATCAACATTTTAGCAAGGAGATGTATCAGTTTAAATGGGTACCTACACTACAGCACTAATAATAACAGTACCTCATTCTCAAATGTTCTGGAAAATGAAGGCAGTCGTTCTTAATTTGAAAAATTAAATAAATTATTTCACTAATTTTTTTGAGCCAACCTGCATATACATTTTTCTAAAACAATATGAATGCATTGATAAACTAACCTCTATAGACTCATATTTTGCACATTTAAATCGGATTTTTCCAGCAAAATTTTGAGGCATTATCAAGGTTTTGGGGGATACACACGTAAATTATGACTAACGATATATCATGATTGCGATAACCTTCAAGCGTTTGCAATATTTCAGAGTATTCCCTTTTGTAGTTTCAAAGTTAATTATAAAAATGTTGTTATACAACTTCGATTTTTTTTTAACAAAATGTGGGTGTCTATGGTAAAAACTCAAAACGGATTCATAAATTACAAGTGCAGGAGTATGTTATTTTATGAAATTTCAATAAGTTACTATTATAAAATTTAGACATTACGTCATATCATTGTTGGTGGGGATGATCAACACATTTTGGTTAGCCTTTTTGCTATCTACACAAGATTCTACCTAATATATATATAAAATTTGACAACAATCGATCTGGTAGTTTTGAAGATTGTCTGTCCAATAAAAATCGACACAAACGACAGACGGTAGACATACAGACGGAAACGGAAGACCTATTTTTTCGTAGTCTGGAGATCATGAAAGATCGAAAAAACATTAAAGTAGCGCGTCGCCTGATAGATTCTATTACAACGCTTACTTAGCTTACAATCGTGAAGTAAAAAAGTGAAAAATTAGGAACTGTTCAGATTCTTCTCAACGATGTTTAAGTTTTTTATAATATTATAAAATAAAGATATACATATATGATAAGTGCTTCCAACATTATTTTTTATAATTCAATTTCATGTACCCATCGACATTAAGTCGTTAATTAAAATATGGTCAAATATCTAAAAGAAAATTTAAATTTTGAAGGCCTGTGTTCTGTATTTGGGCCCAAGTCGAGAACAAAAAATCAGATAGGTTAATAAGTCACGAATATTGGAACTACTTTATTTTATCAAATTTAAATGGGCTTTGCGATACAAAAGTTTGAGATGATGTCATCAAATAAATAGTTTGTGAGGATGATCAGACAAATTTTGGTTAGCGTTTTACTATCTACACGATATTCCTCAAACACAATACAAAAATTTCACAGCAATCAGTCCAGTAGTACTGGAGATTATTCTGTGTAATAAAATCGCAAACAAGGTGATCCGCTGCTTTCGAGGCATACCATCTGATAAAATCGCAAACAGACGACAGATAGACGGAAACGCGAGATTTATTTTTAATATTCTAGGGGTCATGAAACTTCTAGAAAACATTTAAATTAGCCATTCATCAGATACGACAGTTTTCATGTTCTCAATGTTTAGTTAAAATTTTTATGTGAAAGTCAATAACAATCCATTATAATAAATAATACTCCATTACCACAAAATCTGAGATTCAAAATATGCATTTCTCGAAAAAAGAAAATAATATTTAACTGCTATTCCTCTAATAATTTGGATTTGTCGAGGTATGTGATTCAGACTGATTATTATAAATCGAAATCTTTGCTTTCCCTTATTAAAAACATCAACAGTAAACAGTTGGAATAAAATTTATATACCTATACCCCTTTTTGATGGAACATTTCAGACTTGTACGATACTTCTGATCGATACATCAAACTAAAAACAGAGGTATGAAAGAAGAAAATATGAAAGTACATATGTAGTTGAAGATTTGGAAGTACAAATCGACGAATTAAATCACTGTTATCACTGGAAAATTCCATTAGAAATATTTGGAAAATCTTACACTAAGCCCTAGCAATTAGCAATGACAAAAGTACCACTACACTCTCAAATGCTTTATAGTTAAACACGAAGTATGCAGGAAGTAAATTTCGTCTGATAATTTGATATTTTTTGATGCCGACAGTGACTCTTTTTGTAGAGGTTCAACTAGAAATAATTACTGGTGTACCATTGGAATCGTCTCATCAATTATAATCCACAGAGGCAGCTCATCAAAATTTATCTCCCACGAAAATAGCAAAAACTCAATCATCAGGAGAAGGCATATCCGTGATTGAGTACACGGTAAAAGCTCCACCATCAGTGGTAACAAATTTCAAAATCGGAAACTGGCATAAATCCAAACGGATTCCCATGCATATTACCACAAAAATTGGATTCTTCAAAATGATTGCACTAGAAATTCAACGATAATAATAATCAATGGCTGTTAGTTTCATTAAATTAGATCGACCACCTTGCAACTCCAGTTTCGCACCTAGTAACTTCTTTTTATATAATATATGAAAAAAACATCTTGGAAGAAAATTTATTCTAACGAGGAACTGAATTACAACGTAAACGAATATTTTGTACATTACGTTGAAAATGAATTTTTCTTCACAGCTACTGCTGCTTCTTCTTTACCTGCTACTTTTTCGTTCTATCGGAAACAAAAAAAGGATATTAGATGCAATGCCTTCCTTCGTAAATGAGTTGAAAGGAAACATGTTAAATTTACACAAGTGTGCACACAGACGGACGGAAGAATTTATCAGCATATATATACATCAAATTTGCGTGTAATAATGTAATTTACTACTATTAATGTTGAAGGCCCACAATAAAGTGCAGTACGGGGGAGTCAATCCTTCAAATATTTGCAGATGAACAGGTGTTTACTTATAGAATATCAAAATGATGAACCTGCCCTAGACATTTGTGCCTGAAGCAAGATCTTCTAACAGACGGATTGGCTAACGAAGCACCTGTTGGTTTTCAGCTCTTGTAATAAATAATTAATGATTAATAAAGTGCAGGCGACATTTTTTCTGCATGTCAACGAGGTGTCGTGCTGACGATCGAAAACATATTTCCCAAAAGTTAACATAATAAGACTTGGAAATCGTCCTCATCGGTTAGTATTAAGGAATGACCAAACTTACGAGTCTACACGTGTATACGACTTCCTACAAATGGCATAACTGACTTATATTTTAGTGATAACAATTAAGTAATAAAAATATACATCCAAAAATTGATACTGGGTAATTTATTACTAATTTGTCATCTCAATAAATAAATACATCTAATATAAAGTAAATAAATGTTTTTATTAAAAACTTTGAATATATTAACAAAAATAAAACACACGATAATTTGATTTATTTTTATTTAATAAGGGGCAGTCACTCTGAGCGACAGCGGGAATGTTCTGTTGGAGACTATAATGAAAATCCCCTATCTTATGCTGACGGACGGCCTGCGTCCGGCGAACAACCTGGGTGATATCCAAGAGGCGATGTCACCATATTGTGGGTCTGATGTTGCATTGATAGACTCGCCATGGCGTTTACAGTATCTTTATCGTCTTTCTCGTTGCGCACTGCGTCGTTGAAAGAACATCCAGCCGATTTCGCGGCCTCCTGTAAACACGGCCAATGAGCACTTTGTACGCTTATCACTTTCTGGAGAGCAATAATCGCGTTGCCGCATGGTGCTCTCGACAACTCCGAGGGAGAAATAGGCGAGGGATTGTCGCCGAGCAGAACCCTCACGCACTCTTCAGCAGAATCGCAGATGGACGGCAGGTCGTAGCCTCCTTCCAGAGCTAGGACAACTCTGCCTCTGGCCAACTGCATCAGTTGGCGCGTCATATAACCGAAGCACGACGAAGACACCTTATAGCCTCCAAGCGGGGGATGGTGGCCGTCGGTGGCATCGAAGCCCGCCGACACCAGGACGATGTCGGGATTGAATTCTCGCGCGATCGGCATTACGACCGTGCGGAACGCCGCCAAGTACTCCGCGTCCCCAAGGGGTGGGTTTAATCCGCCCGACCAAGCGATGTTGACGTTAAAGCCGAGGCCGGCGCCGGCGCCGCACTCACCCGGGCTTCCGGTGCCTGGAAAAAAGTTGCCGTCGTCATGGCGATGCATGGAGACGACGAGAACGCGCGGGTCGTCATAGAAAATGTCCTGGGTGCCGTTGCCGTGGTGCACGCCCCAGTCGAAAATGAGTATCTTGTGTACACGATGCTCCCTCTGCAACACTCGCGCCGCGATGGCCACGGAATTGAAGAAACAGAACCCCATGGCCTGCTGGGGTTCGGCATGGTGGCCGGGCGGCCTCACGACAGCGAACCCGTTGCGAATGTCTCCCGTCCAAGTCCTAACGGCCAGGTCCACGGTGCAACCGACCGCCATACGGGCGGCCGGCGCCGTGTAGATTTCGTTCCAGGTCGTATCGGTGTCCACGCCTATGCCCCCGCAAGGAAGCCGCACAAATGCCATTACCGGAAGAGAGCTCAACTTGCTCATGTCCACCTTATGACGGTTCATAGAGCTGGTGCCGTACAGAAGTGTATGAGCTTCTGAATGACACATTTGGAGTTCTTGTGTAGACGCCTTCCTCGGTCTTAGCCTGTCGCATCGAGAAACTAAACCAGTTTCGAGAAGACGAGACCATATACTCTGAAGTCTTCCAGCGTGTTCTGGATGAAGTGCATTGTTGCCACAAACGCACGCATGTTTCAGCATCTGACTGTCGTACGCTAAACCTGTGGTGGGAGTGGAAGACGCTCGACGCCTTGACAGCGTCGGTCCATCGGGAGCGCCTAGGTGAACCACAGGACTGCTCAGCGCACGAGAAAGTGGCCTAATGCTGCAAAAATTATTTCTCTTTGTAAAAAAAATAAGAGATAATATTGGAAACATGTAGAGAAAAACACTGATATTTTAGCAACAGCAACTAAGGTGCGATCAATAAAAAATATCTCGAAGTTGATATTGGACGAACAAGTCTTCCTATTTATTGTTTACTACTTCTACCGGACAACGAAAAACACAACTAAAATCCAACACCAACTTGTGGACGTTTTTGTTGATCGTAGATTGAGAGTAATAAAAAAAAAGAAAAAAAAGAATTTGAAACATTAGTTGTGTACAAGAGAACTGCTCTGATTAACTGAAGTATAAGTTCGACAATATCTATGTAAATTCTAAAAATATCACGCCCTTTTTTGTCGGCTAAATTAGTAAAGGAGATTACGCAAAAACATAATACAACAAAAGTTATGTGGAAATAAACTTCAAACTTCTCAATGATCTATATTATTATTGCAATGTCATGTGTAGCTAACCAACAGGGCTGTCACCTGACAAATTACCGGGCGGCTCATGAACCAAGCTTACCTCAGTTTTCGCGTTTATTATTCGTCAGTTACATCATGTACATTTTCTTAATTGAAACTTGCCATATTGTATACTCCAATTCAATTACTTTTGCTACTAACATTTGGAACTTTTGATGAAACTGTTTCGCAAAACTTATTTTCGTTTGCTGAGACCACCACAGTTGTGGAGTAAATGGAATTGAATGAACCTATTGTAAATTCAAAAAATGAATTTTTAAATCGAAATTGTTGAATTGATTTGATATATTTGGTTTTGACTTTGAAAAGGTACTTTAGAGGTTTAACTTTTGACGATATTTTTGTGTGCCCAGAATTAAACGAAAAAACAAGACTTGACTTTCAAATACAGAAAAAGTTTTTACAGCTAGAGAGTAACTTTTCTGTTAAATCTACTTGAGCATCAGTAGATCCGTTGAGCTCACTTAGAGTAATGATTTTTTGCAAACGAAATTATCAGTCCCCTATTAATAAGGTAAGACAATAAAACCTGTGATAAAAGTGTCGAAAAAATTGTTAACAGTCTTTCCACATATCTACCTCTAACACAGGAATTCTCTTAACACAATAAATACAAAACAAAAGTGCGGTCAACAAAAAACGTCCCCAAATTGGTGCTGTACGAGCAAGCTATCTTTCTAATGAGAGTAGCGAGTAACAGACGAACAGAAAGACAGCTTGATCATCCAACACCAACTTTAGTTTGTTCTCTAATCTCGCGTATTTCACCCGAAACTTTTTCAGTTCCCTCTTAACGAGAATGAAAATAAAAAAAAAATCAAAATATCTTATTTTTGAGGGCAAAATGTGGAGATTAAGACTGTTAAACTTGTTTTAAAATCTTTTTAATGTGCACGATGGAAGCTACCTTGTCTTTCCCCCATAAAATAGATGACAAAACATGTTTTGAAAGTCTGGACGATTTGTCTGCTTATCTGGATAGTTTTTCAGTAATTTGAAATCTTGCATCCTGTTGTATCCTAAATATATCAAAAATATTTAAGAGGTCACTTAACACATTAACAGTAGCTCTGTCATTCCACTGTTACGGATACGGGAGAAGATATTATTATTTCTGGGCTGCCATAACAGAAATTGACTGGGCATCTCGGATCTGCAATGAGTACAAAAAAAAATCTAGAGTCGCAAACTATAAAATACAAATATAAAGTAAAGTTTCCTCGGAAAATCAATTATTAATTGAAAGATTATTAGAGAATTATACGTATACATATCTGGTGTTATAGTCTTATAAATTCAAACAAAAAAACTGTCTTAAAATTGGATCATTAGAGTATTTGATTGACAGTATGACAGCCAGATATCTGAAATTTCCACATAACGATATTTATGTCTCTTGCACCCTTTATCTGGATCCTCCATTGAACTACAGCTAGAGTGGCGTTTCTTACCAATTAACCTTTAAAATATAATACATTTGTGAATATAAATTCTTATGATTTGGGCACTAAAAGCAGGAACATTTGTTGATTTGTTAACTAAAGCTACGGAATAAATGGTCATTTGTAGGTATTTTACAGTAATGTTTTATAAATAAAAAAAAAAGAAAAAACTATTAACTGAACACTGATACTAAAACAATAACTGTTCTTATTATAGTATAAAGCCACTAAACAACCTTCGTTATCCTTTTCATGTACCTTTCAACATTTTTAAAAAGTTACGGATATGGTTGAAAGACATGTTTACTATTTTTTATATAATTTTCGAAATAATTGAGTAGACTTAAATTGAATTAATTAAAATATCCCTAGCTTTGGCGCGCATTTTAGGTACAACATACATCCTTAATAAAGACGACTTTTTGACTTTGATGAAAAAAGATGATATTGTAACAACAAAGAATATCGTCTAGATTGAAATATCGATATTTATATTCAAGGCTGCAAACTTTGTGTATAAAATAGTAGATTGTTTTATTAGGATTAAAAGTGCCATTTTTTGCGACGAGCAAATTTTGCATTTGCGAGGCGGAGCGAAGCGAAGCCGAGCGGATGCAAAATTGCGAGTCAAAAACTGACTTTTAATCCGAATGAAACATACTACTTTTTCGCCAGCCAAAAAGTAAATCTCAAAAAAATTTTAACTTTTTAAGGCTAGGATTAAAAAAAAAAAAATTAATGCTAGGATTAAAAAGGCAAAAATGACGTTGTTACTTTAGTAACGCAACTTTTTTTTACTCTCACAAAAACGTCAAGTTTTCCGTCCAAAATTGACGTTAAAAGTGACATCTTTTAAGACGGCTGGCGAAAATAATCTTTTGTTTTAAACTATGTACACAACTTTGTTTGTTTTACCAATTAAAGTTTTTAATAAATACATTCTCAAAGATTATCCTTAAAGTTTTTTTTAACAGATAAAACTGAATGTATAAATCACAATAAGTATCATGCCATTAAGTTAATATTTCAAATTGCAAATTAAGGTACCCCACAAAATTAAGTATTAGGTATTTATAAAAAAATTAGTTTCCGATGTTATACTCTAATTGAAAAATTACAGTGATGTTCTGTTTACAAATATTTAAATCCACGTTTGACATTTAATGTGACACTAAGTGACTATTTTAAACAAGCTTAGTTGTTTAAAATATACAACTTAACTAAATTATCCAATTTATACTCACAAAATCATCTAATAAAATCAAAGACCTTGTTTAGTTACCAACATAAGAGTTTAGCAACCTATGGTATGATTTTTTATTACGAATTCATACAAAAGAACATACGAAATCATTTTTTCAAAGTGACATGAGAACAACAAGTGAAGTAACAATGGCGACGGTAATGGGAAAAGGAAAACCCAATAATTACAGATTCTATTTATATCACAGAACGACCTGTGACAGTAATTAATACACTCGTAACTCGACGCTCGTCAATATCTGAACCAACCAAGTAGGTTTACAGTTGCTGTACGTCGCACGCATCGAGTCTAAATTTAGTTCCATAATGAGGAAACCATTCGATAGCAGGAGAAAAATTAATCAGGGATCCCAAGAGCAACGCAAAATCTCAATTTTTGTCAGAAATTTCAACATAACGCACACAAATTTGTATAACTGTTGGGTGAGGTGACTTTAAATGCTGAAACATAATAAAGCAAAATGAAATTTCCATACAGCAAACTAACCATAATTTGTCCCATTCATAAATCCACTGCAAAGTGTCAGGACAATAAGAATACACAAAAAATATATTTTATTATCTTTTTTTCATTTAATAAGAATTTGTTTCATAAATTGGAACTGACTCTGATTAAAGTATCAACAAAATAAGGGAAATGTTCCGAGCACACATGACAAACGTGTTGAAAGGTTCAATAATGAATGGGGAGAAAAAGCGGTACAAAGTACACTTTCTAAATTATTCACGATTATAAATTTTAACTGGCGTTTCGAAATTGAATCGATATGAAATAAATAATACATAAAAATTCTCATTGAGAATAACCGAAATAAACCAGTATTCAAGTCATTTTTTGTAGAAATAAAAATGTGGAAGCGTTTAGAAATGAAGATATTAATGTAAGATATAATTATGTAACAAAATCGATCACCACGTAAGTGATAATATAGCAGGTGTCACTCAAAATTTCATTCACCTCATTTTATTTCCACAATGCAATAATTGTACTGTGCACGACTGAAGTTTTGTATTTTACTACAAGTTTTTGTAGCAATGAAAAATAAATTTAACTTAAAATGTTTGACATATATCGAAATCAGGTTTTAAAAATTCTCTATAGTATTTAGAACTTGTATCTTTCAATATAGTTATAGCCTGCCAAGAAAGAAAAATGAACCGTTTTCGGCAAGTTATTGAAAAGACCTCCAGATATTGTTAAAATCAATTTATAGATCACAACCACGAGAAAGAAAAGTCCTCCTAGAAAAACATCACAGTTTTTGGTTGAACCGTTTTTAGCTTTGGCATTTTAAAACTAGTAAAATATACCATTTTTTATTTTTCACATGAGTGTTTCCACGTCCGTGATTGAAATAAAACATGAAAGTGGCAATTCATCCGATGGACTCGTTTACTATAACTTGTTAGCTTACGAAGTAAAAAAAAGTTAGCAAAAGAAAAATAGGATAAATGAAAACAAACCTGATATTAAAAGACAGATTATGATTTAAACACAAATTTAACAACATAATAAAATACAAATTATTCAATTTGGGAAAAACTATGAAAAACCACAATTTGCACATCAAAAAACATTAAAAAAAAAACTCGTTTTCAGGAATGCTTATATTTGTTTGCATTCTTATATTCCACAGCTTGTATAATACTAAAATGCAGGTTTCTCAGAGATTCTACTAAATATGTTTGAATAAGTTGATTTCACTTGAAGTGTGTACAATGACATCGTCCTTAGTCCGTAGTTTAATATAATTCACACATGATTTTAATTTTACATATACAAATTCTTAAATAATATATTGATACAGATATCTTGCATTTTTGGCACAACACTGGTTTTGTGATTAGGGAACATGAATTTAAAATTATTTATTAATCCCCACCAAAAAGTTAAAACTGCTGACTTTACCAAATCAGCAAATAAAAAATTACTTATTTAAAAAAACACATCCTCACATACAGCACTGTTTTTTCTTTAGAAATAAGCTCATATATTTTTACTTCCTTAGCAAGCTAAGGAAGTATAGTAATCGATTCCATCGGGTGACTTGCCACTTTCATGTTTTCTCGACCCCAAGAGTACCAGAACAGTGGTCTCCACTTTCCGTTTGTCTGTCGCCTGTCTGTCTGTCTGTCTGCCTATCATCTATGTCGATTTTTAATAAACACATAATCTCCGAAACTACAGAACCGATTGTTGTGAAATTTACAATCGGTTTTTTTTGTAAAATAAGTTACTCCTGCACGTATGGTGTTGAGCTCTCATCGAAATTACCTTCGACTAATTTTTTACAATACTATTACAATATATATATATTACCCATATATTTTGACGATTATCTGATCATTCTGGAATTGTGAAAACAGGATTTCATTGTGGTTGAAACTGTTGTATATATCAAAATTAATATATTTGCTCCAACAAAAATTTCATGATGTTGTTGCACCAAAAAAATGTGCTAATATACAACTATATTTAGTTTTTATTTTTTTAATTTAATTTTTAAAAACTGTATGTTTTTCATAAGACTAATAGCTCAGAAACCATATGTATAAGTCGCAGACAAAACTAGGTGCAAAAAGCAAAAAAAAAGCATAAGCATAAGCTATACAGGGTGTTATTGAAAGGTACGTACAACAAAATTGACAGTTTTTCGCGAAGTCTAAAAAGTCGGAAAAACTTATTTTGTGTTATCAAAATTATAAGGGGAAAATTAACCCTTATCCAACCTTTTTAGACGCTACTGAAGGATAAATAGGTAAAATTAATTTATTTTAGTAAATCGTAGCAACTGTAACAAAAAAACTTCTGTCAAGACTAAATGTTCCTATAAAAACGAAAGATGATCTTTTTATCAGAGGCGTACAACGAATTTCGGCATAAATTTTAATAATATTTATCTCTAAAAGGAGAACACTTTTACCTGCTTTTAGCACTCATACTTCGGGACCAATTGCGGATTTTATTTTGTACGTACCTTTCAATAACACGCTGTATACAGTTGGGGTTTAGCCAATTCAATGCGGTAAAAATTTATGTTGATATACGTTTACTGAATGGTCAAATCTACATTATACCTATCCCTTAGGTGATTCTATTTTGACACTTAAATCTAGTCGCTAAAGTTTAAAAATTTTGACAAATCAAGTGTAAATGCACTTTGTCGCTAAATTTTGTTTGCGATTATATAACTACACTGCCAGACAAAAAAAAATCGGATACTTGAATATTTGTGACTCTACGTTAATCTTTAGTGTTATAACTTGTTTTACTTTTGTTTTGTTTCCACATGATTTAGAATAGAGTTATGTTCTCTGCTAATGGATACACAATGTTTTGCTTTTTTGGAACATTTTTTACAAAAGTTCGATCAATTGCAGGTAATCATAAAAAATCCGGATTTTTTTTGTCTAGTAGTGTAGTTTTGATAAAATTCACACACATGTTGTATTTCCGTAGGACGATAGAAGAAGAAAGTCATCTCGCACAATTTTCGATATAAAGGTTTCATATTGTGAGATCTTTTGAACACGTTGGTATGCTCTCTTAAAATAATATGAAGCAGAAAATCGATAAATTCTGATTAACGATTTACTTAAAATGTTTGCAACATTTCAGAGTATTCGGTTTTGCAGGTTCAAAGTTAATTGTAAATGATATTATAGTTTCAATTTTTTATTTTTTTCTAAAAATTTAAATGTCCACAGTATAAAATCAAGACGGATTCATAAACTACATGCATAGGAGTACACGCGTTATTTTATAAAATGGAAGTAACATTTATTATGCACAATTTTGATGTGACGTCATCACATTGTTGGTGACTGGTGGATAATTAGACAACTTGTGGTTAACGTTTTACACGCTGTTCCTAAAATACCTATATTTATCTGTCTAATAAAAATTGATACAGACGACAAACAACCGGACTCGGCAGTTTCTATTATTTTATAGTCTAGGGTCATGAAATGTCGAGAAAACGTGAGTAACGTGGGATGGACCTTATTACAATACTTCTTTCTTCTTTAGCTTACGCTCAGGAATTAAAAAAATACTGTGTTCCCAGAATTTTGTGAAAATTATATAAACGATTATTAACCAAATCAAAAAAAATCATTCATTCTTTAATTTTTGTAAACATCCTGTATAAATAATTAAAGAAAACTCTCGTCTATTACTAAAGCGCAAACAATTTGGCATTCTGAGTCACGTTTTTTAACATTTATTATTTAATACATGTTTCGACGACGTTATTACCTTTCTAGGGAGCTATAAATAAATAAATTTTGATCGTCGTTCTGTAATCATTAAATTAATGTTAGCATCTTGTTATAGTTTCAAAGAAAAAATCGATTCTGAGACTATCTAATTCTAATGGCGAATTATATGGCAAAAATAAGTAAAAAGTCGTAGTAAAACTATGCCCCTTTCTCAAAAATAGAGAAGGTGCAGAAGTTTTAAATTTGCTACATTATCAAAACTACTTTCCACTATCATTAATTGTACTAGCCAGAAAAATACTCCATTGCCTTAAAGAATACATAGTTTCCTTGATTGTTGCAGCTGAGTTGCCTTGGAAATGCCGTGAGTACTAATTATTGAGAGGAAAAAAAAAAAAAGGCGTGCTCCTTATTGTCACAATGTTTCAGTTGGTGTCAGCTTTAAATTTTAATTTCAGGACTAGTGCTTAGAAATGATCAGATTTACTAATCAACAGGAAGTAACAGAGCGCAACTATTATTGTAGATGTTCAAAATGTTCTCCATTAGCTCTAATGCATGCCCGATAGTACAGTGACAAAAGCTTAATTTATGTTGCATAACTTCAGACTCCACTCACTACACATGAAATGGTTGATGCATTTCCCTCTTCCGAACTCTCCAAACAGTAGTTTCTTGGGGTATTCCTGTCTTTCTTGTTATACGGCGAGTACTAGTGGTCCAGTCATTGTTAATAATGTTTTAAAAGGGGTTCCTCTTAATTTGGGTTTATTAGGTTTGCCCCACATACTGATCTGAGCACAGCGCTGCCGTATTCTGCGTTTTTTTGGTAGGTGCAAGGTGTTGCCATATAATTCTTTTCTAATAATAATTAAGTACAGTGGAAAGTAATTTTGATCATTCATGAAATTTTAAGATTATCTAGTAGCCATACTTTAAAGAATTGACCATTATTATTTACTTATTTTTTTGTCATATTATTCACCATTAAAATTATGCAGTAGTGTTCTGAATCACTCTGTATAAGTTGTTATTAAAAAAATTGCTAGATTATTAAACCACAAATAAGGGAGCATATCACACTAAAGTTCACAACAATAAGATTTACTTACAAAAAAATTGTAATTACGTTATCAACTTGTGGAAGGGGTTAGTAGATGCATTCTATTTAGCGACTTACCATGTCCACTACAATCTTAAAGATTCTGCTAAATTTTAAATGAATCGATATTGTAGTTTTTCTAGTCTAAATTGTACAATTTTATTCTGTATTTAGTCAACCGGTTTCGTTTTTCGACTTCTTCGGTACTTAAAATAGTTGAAATAGTATATAAACGAAACGGGTCCACAAATTAAAAATAACTAAGAACGAATAACCTTTAATTTGTGCGAACCAACTTTTTTTGAAGTATCTCTTGAAGTAAAATCATTTGCGGTTAAATATATAATGAGTAACGACTGATTTGTCGATTTACTAGAAGTATTTCATGAAGTTTTTGTTATGGTTCTTTACAAGACATTCTACATCAAAAAGAAAGCTCAACTATCGACTGTTGCTTTTGTTTGCTACATTTAACCTATTGTATATTCTGTGTTGATAGTAATTTTGGAATAATTTTGATCATTTGAGTTTCAACATTTTTAGAGTTTAATTTTTAATAACTGTTTTATTAAAAAGTATTGTCTTAATTTTAGAAATAAAAAAAATATAATCTAATAATAAACTATCTGAACTCCATTAATTGTGAACATTCATCTCGTACCATTTCAAAACAGACAATTACCTTCGCGACTCGTTAGCCCTGAGTTCTAAATCCCTCTGTTCTTGTTCTTCGGGAGGCGGCTGTGGCGGTTGCGGTACCGGCGGCGGCGGTCCCTCCAAGAGAGGGTGGCCCAGAGGAAGAGGCGAAGATTGCGTCCTACCCAGCGGCCGTATCACCCCCCTGGACTGCTGAGGTTCCTGTAATTCGCTAATAGTGTCTAGGGGGGTTTCTTCGTGTTCGCTTTCGATCGCCGGCAACGAAGGGTAGAACGGTAAAGTTCCTGGCAACATCTGTCCCGTCAATGGCATTCCCAACCTTGCTGTACATGCAGCTCGGACGGCGGCCTCAGAGAGATCGGGGGAGAGAACGTGATGGGCGGCTAAAGATATATTGGGCATCGAGGGACTACTGAAAAGGGCGTGACGCTGATATTCTTCAGTTTCACAAGGGGGACTCAGTTCTTTGGGAGGCTCCTGAGGCGGTGACTCGCTAGGAGGTAGGCACGAACTCAAAAGCTTCTTCTTGAGCGATGGGGGAAGGTGTCTTTTACTCATGGGGCTACAACGTCGTTCCATCACGCGCTGTTTTAACCTCACTTTCAATAGATTAGGCTCGGATGCTAAAAATAAACAAATAAATAAATAACACTAGGGACTAGAAAGACATAGTTAAGAATGCTGGAGACGGGTAACATCAATATTAGATAATATGAAAAACCTGATTTTAAATGGAGATGAATACAAATAACAAGAGACATACATGAGAATGTGTAAGTGTAAAGAAAATTAGTATAAAAACTTAGGTCACAGTGGGATCTATCTATAGTCTTTACCATTTCTATTGAAACACCACTTCATATTCAGAGAATTTTCTAACTAAAAGCCGTTGTCAATCAAATGAAAGCTGTTACACATTGCTAAATTTTAAGCAAAATCAACAGGTGGTGTTTCAATAGAAATGACAAAGACAATAGACAGAATGACAAAGGAACTATAAAAAATAATGAGACAGTTAAGTATACATATAGAGATAAGAATCTATATGTAAATGTGGAGAAGGAAGTGCACAAATAAAAAAAATTGGTTAAAGGTTATTTCGACAGAACAGCTTTTCGGAAAATTATAAAATTTGATTTAGCGAATTTTATCTTTTTTAACAGAACCTCTACAAGTTAAAATAAAGGTATGTAATGTTAAATTAAAAATAATGAAGGCGGTATGTTTCAAGTAAGTTTCCCCCTTAGAAAATGTTGTGATGACGTCATCAATGTTTTTTCATCGACACGTACAGTCGCGGCCAGAAAATTTTGGACGTCAGTATCATTCCTCTGTCACAAAATGTGAAACACCTTGTAGGCATGCTAACACTGGATGCGACGTGACAAATCTTTTAAACTTCAAATATCAAAGTGACAATAAAGCATGGACTACATCAAAATTTTCACAATTTTAACTGAACTTTTATTTTACTATAAATTGGCAAAAAATACTCTGCAAAGTTTAATATTTATTACTTTAGATATGTATGTTTTATTTGCTTTTGTAATATAATATTTCCTTAAAGCATTTTCTGTGCTTTGATGTCAACATACCTTTTTACATAAGTAATGAAAAGTCAATTTTTGAAACTCTTGAAATTATTTCATTCATTACGCTTTTCTGAACAATTCAATCCAACATTCTACCAAATTTTACGCAAAGTTACACTAGCGAAAAACGTTGGTCAGAAAATTATTTTCTAAGAAAAATTGTAATAATTTACGAATATTACATAGTGAAGTTAAAGAATTAAACAAATGTTAAAAGTTATTCTCCATTTGTAAATTTAATATAATTATTTTTAGCTAATAATAATAAATAAAAAAGTTATACAGGGTGTCCCCTTTTAGCTAACTCACCCTGTATACAAATTTCATTCCAGATACACCCACATAAAACTTTATGACAGATAATTAGTGAAACCCCTGCACAATGGTAACAGTAATTTATTAATAATAATAATAATAATAATAATAATAATCGTAATTTATTATCCAACAGACAAAGATCTATGTGGATACTTGTACATAACTCCGGATAAGTATACACAAATACATATAACAAAAAAAAAAAAAATCAATACAAAACAATTATATAACTAAACACTAATCACTAAAAAATGATATAACTCAACATGCGGGAACGTCAACTACAGTGGCGTAAGAACTGCATTTTTACACAGATAAGTGAAATGTTTGATATTCTGTAAAAAGATGTCTGCAAGTGGAGCAATGTTATTGTAACTTCTGCACATATTATATATCGGCGAATAGAAATGTTGATTAGTTCTACACCAATCTATTGCAAATGTTCCAGTATATCTACAATTTAAGCGCGGTATGTGAAACCTAAGATTACCAAGCAGAGTTTGTGAAAAAATTTTCCCGTGAATCAGCTTATGTAAAAATATAATATTTGCCACAGTTCTTCTATCCTTCAACGAGTATAGATTAAATTCATTGAAAAGAATTACGCTCGAACAAGTTCTTACGGGATATTTGCCAAATTTAACATAAAACAAATGTTTACAAAATTTTCTTTGAATACGCTCTATTGAAGATATATGAATTTTGTAGTCTTGAGCCCATACGACGGATGAATATTCCAGTTTAGAACGAATAAATGAATAATATAATACAAGCAAAGAATCAACATTGGTAAAACCGACAGTATTTCTTATAATAAACCCTAACATTCTATTAGCATGATCACAAATATGTTACTATACATACAATATTTGACAACAATCGGTCCAGTAGTTTCGGAGAGACGGAAACGGAAGATCACTTTTCTATACCCTACCAAACATCAAGAAAACATGAAAGTGCCAAGTCGTCCGATGGACTCAATTGCTACAAGCTTTCAGCAAAAGATATATATAGAGCTATGAGGTTTTAATAGTTATTTATGTTACAAGTGTTGAAAACGGTCCATTGCATTACGAACGGGAATACGGCGCAAGACGCAGTCGAGCGCTGTATGTAAGTGAGTAATGCAATGGAGTTTTCACACGAGTATCATACAATATTTTTTGCGCTGCCTTTTTGAAAAAATAACATTTTTCAATCGCTAAAAGAATAAATATTACTGAACCGAAATTATGTTGGTATTGAACTTATCACCAAATACGTCAAATACCAATTCGTCCGGGCTAGATTTTGAATTTCAAAGTTGAAATGGAAATTCGTGCAAGTATTCAGAAAATTGCAGATAAAGCAACTGCAAATTTGTTGCCTGCAAAATCCGCAAATCCATATGAAGCCGAATATCAAAAATTCACCAAGTGGTGCGAAGAAAATAAAATACGCGAATTTTCTGAAACGACGCTCTTGGTTTATTTCCAAATTAAGTCGGAAATTATGAAAACATTCACACTGTGGACAATATATTCAGTTCTGAAAAGTACTCTTGGCATCAAACATAACATAAATCATTCGAAATTTTATAAATTAACAGCGTTTTTAAAGCGGCAGAATGACACAAGCCCAAGAAGTCTGAAATGATTACCAGTGGAAACAGTTACGGCTCCAGATCAGAGAGAATCTTGTGATTATGATTCAGCGTCAGGTTGCGAATAACGTCAAGTTTAAACGGTTTATTAATTAACAAGAACTACTAACAAACAATAATAACACAATAGTTGTCAACAACATAAACCAAACCACCGAATAGTGTCAACTGTCAAATTACTACAAATCCAAATTTTGATCAACAAATTCCCCTATTTAAGATTACAACTTAAATTGCACTTTTTTTAAATTTCGAGCCACTTTTTGTTATAATAACTTTAGATACATGATTATCAATTAGTAGTAATTACTTTGTGATAATCAATTTATTTTTTCAAAGCTTAAATTCCTCGTTTGTATTTTGCAACACTATAGATCCTTTTTCATTGCCATTGCGATACGCCACGTGTCAACGTAAAATGTCAATTACAACTATGGCAGCGCAAAAAAATTTTTAATACGTTTACTGACAATTTACTCACTTAAATCGTTATCGTACTGTGTATTATACAATATTCATTTTACAGAAGGGCTATTGACGATTTGAACAAAAAACCATCCAAACTGCTTTTTAAGGAAGTGCGGAGTAATGCGTTTGCAAGAGATTTTGTGGAAGAAGATGTTTATCGTGACCGTTAAAATTTATATTACGCAAAAAAAAAATAATGGAGGAGCTGCCAGAAAGTGGAGCTCAGTGCACGTAATTTTAGAAAAAAAAAACGTTTATTAACAAATAGGGGAGAACAATTTTTATTTATTAATAATGTCAGTGGTATAGTGGTTTTCATTTAAATCAAATTTGGAATTTTTATGTAGTGCAGATTACATATGTATAACATATCGACAGGACTTTCCAGTTTTGTACAAACTTCTTTTATAATTTTTTTACAATTCATGGCTGTAAAAATACTCAGTTAATGTTTTGTTTACTGCCAAATAAAACGGTCAGAAATATATATCAAGAAAAGTTGCAAAAATTTCAAATAACTTTCCAACCAAGTTATGTTGTCAACTGAATTCATAATATTCAATTCATACTGCAATCAACACAATATGGTAGAGCACTAATGTTATAGGTGGTAAGTTTCAGCTTTGTTAGTCATGGTATAGAAAAATTCGAAATTTGTTGTTTCCCTTGAATACAACTATCAAAATGTTGTAACTGACAATTTTTTGAAACAATTATTTAGACTTCAGTAAAAACTGGAAAACCATCTGAAGTAGCTGATTGTTTTGCTCTAGAATTTGCAGAATTTTTTTCCACCGTTATTCTGGTTCAGAAATTTTGTGATTACCTCGTAGAAAATTACATTGGGAGAAGACGTTTTGTTTCCTCCTTCAATATGGACCGTACATAGTAGTCTACGCTCGATTCAATAAGAATTTTTGTTCCGAGTCATCCAGACTTAAATACAATGGTGGAAATATTACTTAATTATCAAACAATAACATATATATCTTAAAATGACCACAGCAAAAAATCAGAACAAAATTCTTACGAAAGATAGAATCGCAGCAAGATTATCTTGAGGAAAGAATAATAAGATACCAATTAGGACATTTGTCTACTTGTTTAAGTAGAATTGAATTCGTTAAGTCTGTAGCTTAGGGTGGGTCCTGATCTGAACATTTTGGTCCGAACGAACCAAACGCACAGAACAAATAGAACAAACGGTCCGCGCAAATGGTAGCTGTTTTTGAGGCATTTGCTGTGTTCGCCACGTTCCCACTGCATTTCCAGGATTCTCGCAGATGTGAAACATGGATGACGTTATAATGGCTGCTAATGCATTTTTTCTGATTCATTCCCTGACTAAGAAGAAGAAAAAAACGAAGAAAAAATGGCAGAGGCGTCTATTTTCAAGGCGTGAAAACAATGCATTACCGAGAAACATGGACAGTGGGCATTTCGCTAGCTCCGCATGTCACAACGAGAAAATCTGAAAGTAGACAGTCCGGTGGACTCGATTACAATGCTTCCTTAGCTTACGCTCGGGAAGTAAAAACTGAAGTACGAGCACCGTCCCACTTCAATTGGCCCACACGTTAAACTCTACTTTTGATTCCTTGGA